GACCGATCATTTGATACCCTACTTCACTACAATTTGCGGTAGAGTTTTTACAGATGTGAAACCCTTTTGACCATAATCAAGATTCCCCTTAAAAACATCCCCATATCAACAACATCATAAAAACAAATGTGGAACCTATTTCATGCTCTTTTCGAATAATCATCGTAAGTCTGGAACCATTATTTTCTAAAAACATACGGTCTCTAAAACATCTAACCCAAAATATCGCATATATAGGAAAATATATAAGATCTCATATACTAAAGAAGGTGATGTTAGTTTTTTCACTTCTAAGTCAAGAACCGCTGGACTGACTTTTACAATTCTCACGAATTCCGAATGGTCTTTTGCCAGAAAGGTATAAAATCGATCAAAAATTTTCAAATAAAAGATATTCATTTACGGGTTCAAATGTACAAAAAAATTTTCCTGATTGTGCAGTCGCTTTACAGGTAACAATTGAAAACCAATCGAGTTAAGGACAGCGAAGAAGTCTAATATTTTGGATGACCATTAAATTATATTTAGCTGTAAAATGGAAAACTTTTTGGGCTTTATGATAACATTTCAAAAACGAAATCTCCCAAAATGGATTTGGACATAAGGGGGCTTCCAACATATTGTAGTGTTGCAGGGAGTTAAACGTTGTTTACCTGTTTTTTTTTTTTTTTTGATATGCTCTGTATTGTTATACCCTACAACACTATGTGTTGGGTTGAAATGAACCAAAAACAGAAACATTTCCTGATTTTGCTGGTGCTCTACAGGCCACAATTATGAACCGATCGACGCGAAATTCTGCATGAAGATAGAGTTTAAATGGCAGCTGGGCAGAGGCCTACAAATTTATACGCTCATCGGACAATATTTAGCGGGTAAAATAAACCTAAAATTGTTTGTCAAAAAATACAAATAGTTCCACTAAACCGCGAATATTTTTAATCCCGGTCAAACCAAAAATACATTAAAAAGTCATTTCTGGCCATTTCAATGATGCTGATAGCCAAGATATCGGATATATAGCGAAATACTTACAATATATAGAAATAGATCTTCGCTTATAAGAACCGCTTATAAGAACCGCTAGACTGATTTTCACAATTCTCATAATTTCGGAATGGTATCTTGCCAGATAAGGATCAAATCTAAGAAAATCGCGTAAAAATATTCCAATAAAAAGTGAATATCTTCTCTTTTTTTAATTTTTGTCATATTTTTAATTGCATGCGATTTTTTCACATTGACTTACAATTTTGAATTGCACATTTTCTAAAGTTGTCTACACCCCGCAACCCTATGTGTATTTTATACTAGTCGCAATTATCGTCCGATCCTCACGAAATTTTGCATGGGTTTGGGTTAGGGTCAGCATTAATGCCAATTGTTTTTGAAGATGTTACTTTACGGGTTCAACTGGACAAACAAAAAAATAAGAATTTTTTCCTGATTTTGCAGTCGCTCTACAGTTCACAACTGAAAACCAATCGACACGTAATTTTGCATGAGCAGAAAGTTAAGGACAGGGAAGAAGTCTAACCTTTTGGATGACCATTGAATTATATTTAGCTGTAAAATGGACAAAAACATTTGTGTGAAATTATTTTGAATGCCTATCTGTACGTCAGAGAGCGTAAATATGGGGCAAATGCCCCGGTCAACAAGCTAAGGATAACATTGGGGCAGAGATCTATGATATCATTTCAAAAACGAAATCTTCCAAAATGGATTTGGAGGCTTCCAACATTTTGTAGTATTGCAGGGTATTTTTATAATTTATTTTTTTAATTATATTTATCACTCTTTATTAAATATTTTGAATAACTTCCTCGAAATTCCGACTTTGAACAAAACCAGCGGTTTTGAAATATTAGAAAAGTTTTACATTAATATAATTTCTCGACATGTTCTCAAGCTTAAAAAAAGTCATATTTAGAGTTTAAATATTTACTTTTTTCCTCAAATGCTTTCCAAACTACCTACAGGCAATCGGAAGAAATGGGGTGTATTTTCTTTCTAGTCCGGATGAATCGGTTATTAAAGTCCCTATGCCAAGATGCCGTTTTTATAATTTTTATTTTATGTATCATATGTAAATGCGTTATGTTCACCTTCCACCATTGAAACTAACTGTATCGAAAGTCGAGCGAGTCGAGACAGCAAATTTCAATTATATCGGTAGGTGAATGTGGTTAATGTTTGCCCGAAAAGCCGGCCATAGTTCTAAATGTATGGTGTCTAACCATACTTGCTTTTCTAGTTTTCGTAAAGAGATTATCTACTCTGCACTATGGGGCCAATGACATGTTTTTGGAGTCATAAATAACAGGGACGTGGTAGAACTCCCAAAGTTCGTTTATAGGTGCTGGTTATGATGAGAACAACATATGCCAAATTTCTTTCGAATCGGCAAGAACGTATATCTGATTTGAGATTTAACCCCCTCAGAGTTATAATATGAACTCTATAACAATGATTTTTGGTATGTGGATTCAGATATAGCTCAGAAATACTTTTGACAAATTTTGTCGCAATCGGTTCAGATTTACATATAGCTCCCATATATATTCCCCTCAATTTTTTTGTACATCAACCGAGGGTAAATGTGACAAGGATTATCAAAATACCGAATATCAGTGGGTACCATTATATGGCGGCTATAGCAAAACAGGGACCTAGATATTCAATGTTCTGCCACTCGAGCGAACCCCATTAAGAACTACAAATACCAATTTTTAGACAAATCCGTGGATAATGTGAAATAAATCAACAAAATACCGAATATCGGGAGGTACCGAAACATGGGGGCTATACGAAAACGTGGATCTATACATACAATATTTTGCCACTGGAGCTAAAACCCATTTTGAACTACAAATACCAATTTTTGGACACATCCGTGGAAAAATGTGACAAACATTATCAAAATACCGAATATCGGGAGGTACCGTTATATGGAGGCAATAGGAAGATATGGACTATACATACAATGTTCCGCCACCGGAGCTTGAACCCATTATAGGTCATAATGGTAATACCAATTTCTAGACAAAAATCATGACAAAAGCGAATATCGGGGGGTACCGTTATGTGGGGGCTATACGAAAATATGGACCTATACATACAATATGCCGCCACTGGAGCTAAAACCCATTATGACCTACATATACCAATCCGTGGAAAAATGTGGCAAACATCGCCAAAATACCGAATATCGGGAGGTACCGGAGCAATACGAAAACGGGGACCTATACATACAATGTTCCGCCACAGGAGCTAGAGCCCATTAAGCATCACAATACCAATGTTTAGACTAATCCCTGGAAAATGTAGCAAAAATCATGAAAATACCGAATATCGGGAAGTACCGCTATGTGGCGGCAATATCAAAACGTGGACCGATATATCTCATATTCAATACCAACCATCCTAGACTCAATACAAATTGCTTTGCCAAATTTTCTAGCTCTGCGTCAAATGGTGTGGGCTGTAACGTAATTTCAACAGACAGATAGACGGACATTGTTAAATCGACTTAGAATTTTATGGTGATTATGAATATATATACTATATGCGTCTACGACGAATTGGATTGCAAACGGAATGACAAAGTTAATATACCCTCCTTTTCAAGGTGGAAGGTATAAATATAGTGACAAGTGACCAAGCCAAGTGACAAATTTGACCTCAATCGGAGCAAAAAAAGGATTGCATAATATTCGCCAGTCTAAGTATTAATATAAATGAAATCTCAAGGATTTTTAAAGAAACTTCTTGACCCAGTTTACTACAAATATTTTGAATGCTCTATAAACATATATATCATTAATATATACCCTTTATGACGGAATGGCAAAGTTAATATGTGCTCCATTTCAAGGTGGAGGATATAAATATAATATGGCCAAGTGACTAAATTTGACCTAAATCGGAACAAAAATAAGGGTTGCATGATATTCACCAGTCAATGTATTAGTATAAATGAAATCTCAAGAAATTTTAAAGAAAAAATTTTTTTTGAATGCTGCTCAAACATATATAAAAAGTCATCATGAATGTTACTAAGAATAGCACTTGAATTTAATTTCGTTGTTGTTGTGCAATGATTTTCACGACACTTGGGTACTGCAACAAATGGGGTGACAAGTGGCGAGTCATTGTTAGTCTGCTTTCGTGCTTTTTCTTTTTTTTTTGTTTATTTTTAGATTAGAATTTTGGAGTAGTCATCCCAACCCTCACATACATTTCAGTTTTTTTTTTTTTTGCATAATGTGTGACTTGCAAGTAGTGGCCCCCTCTCCCCTATGAGAATTGTGCTGGGTAATCTGTGAAATGCAACACAGCAAACAAAATTTAATTGGTCTGTGTATTGTGCAAATGAGTCGGTCCTCGAACAAGACATACTAACAGCAGCAGCAACAACAACAAATGAAAAGATAATTTGCATAAATGCGTTGAAAGTGCAAAAGAGTTTAGCAGCTAACATAGATATGTATGCATGTGTGTAACAGGAGACTCTTATTAAAAAATGTATGCAGTACACTTATTTCCCTTGAGTTTGTAGAATTAGAATTGTTAATAGACCGGGAGAATATTTGCCAATAGATGCAATAATAAGCCCTTTTGTATGAGACATTTGGCCTACATCAAAAACATATTTCTTTAGCAAAATAACCTTAATTCATATGTTACTAAACAGTCTGGCATTTAATCAACTAGAGACATATTCAAGTACTCCTTTGAAACGAAAATTTCATAATTTCATACACCCATTGATATAAATATGCAAAAATATGAATGACTCTCCAGAATACACGTGACATACTCATTTCCTGCTGCATTATCGCACATAAATTTCACCTAACCGTCATCGTCAGCATTGAAATGCGTCCTTTACCGTGCCGGCAGGAGCAGCAGCAAAAGAAACACTCAAAGCTTACATACATTTGCATGTAATTCCACCTCGCACTCTGACTGACACTCTGATAAACAATTTGACGTACTCACGGTTCGCTGCTTGCATTATTCGTGCCTTTTACATAATTACTAACATTATGCCACCCGCCACGCTGTGTAACTGCCAACTAAAAATATAATACACATCTCGCTAATAATGCCAGGGTTGCCAAGGTGATCTGAAATGAAAATGGAAAAATATCTTAATGGAATATTTGGTTGAAAAAAATTTATGTCTTTATTCATTGAAATAAGAACCAAAATACCGCAGAGCTACATTCGGGCGGCATGTGACGGTTTCTTTGGCCATTGGCCATAATTCGTGCCAAAGGTGACCCACTCGAACAAATCTAAATTTTGTAATTTGATGCTTTCGACTGAATTAAGCCTGGAAGAAAGTGTATACAATTTTATAAAAATCGGTTAAAATATAGCTATTGGTTCCATATATATGTTTCATCCGATTTTGTATTTAACGACATTTGGTGCCAGATATCAGATACGGCATGGAAATTCCTAAAACTTACAGAGATTGTTTCGTTTGGATATAGCTACCATATCTTCATCCGATTTCCTGTTTATTGTGCCTAAAAGTGGTTCAGATACTAATGTCTTCGCAATTTTAGTAGAAATCGATTCAGAGGAGGTCATGGTCATAGTTAATATGATTCAATTCTCAAAGATTCCAAATAAAAACGTTTATTTGTTATGCGTACCTGTACTAAATCTGAAACGGGGTTTAGGGTATCATAAAGTCGGCCACACCCGACTCTTGACCTTTCTTTGCTGGTTTTTATCACGATTTATGCATCGTTGGGCAGTCCTTGAAATATATTTCAAATATTTACCATGTCAAACATGCCCGATTGCAATTGTAGGGTCACCATAATTTCACCGTAATTTCCGAGACATTGAATATTTGGAATGTACTTTAAATTCCTGCGATTTTGAAAAGGATCAATAAATATAGCAATTGTAAAGAATCGCTGAGTTGCTTTGGAATTTGTAATAGATGCAAATATTGAAAATTGTGTCCCTTTGTGGGTGAGGTGCCAGGAGGTGTTCGAAGATATATAGCATCTTCACAACAGATCTGGTGTTAGCAAAAATTATTGTATGTGTGAAATTTGAAAAGAGTTGGATCCTTATTTCGCTTTCTTTGAGTGTTATGTTTTTCAAAATTAGATTATTGCTTCCCTTTCTGTGCAGAAAATATATTTTTTTAAAATTTTGACCATTTGTGGGGGAGGTACCAGAAGAAGTGGACCGATATACTCCATCTTATCACCATACCTTGACTAATAAAATGATTGGGATGGGTGAAATTTGAAGACAATCGAACTCTTAAATCACATTTTACGAGAGTTGTAATTATTCAAAATTTTGACCATTTGTGGGGGAGGTACTTGAAGGAGTGAACCGATATTGTCCATTTTCGAACCAGACCTAGCACTGATGCAAATATTAGGATTTGCAAAGTTGGACCAAAATCGGATCATCGTTTCTCTTTCTGTGCAAAAAATATATGATTTGCAAATTTCGACCTTTTGTGGGGAGGTACCAGAAGGAGTGGACCGATATTGTCCATTTTTACACCTAACGTAAAACTGACGCAAATATTAGGATTTGCAAAGTTGGAGCAAAATCGGATTTTCCCTTCTCTTTCTGTGCAAAGAATAATTTTTTTGCAAATTTCGACCTTTTGTGGGGGAGGTACCAGAAGGAGTGGACCGATATTGCCCATCTTCGAACTCGATCTAAGTTTGACAAAAATATTACGATGTACCAAGTTTGGACCAAATCGGATACTCCCTTCGAGAGTTATCGTGCGCACCAGCCAGCCAGATAGACAGACGGACGGACGGACATCGCTAGATCGACTCCAAATGTTCTGAAACGGATTTGGTTCAAAGAGACCTAGGGTCTAAAACCGTTATTTCGACTAGGCACGTTTTGACCGTATCAAATGATATATACCCTCTGTAGCCATATGGGTGAGAGTATAAAAAACGTTGACAAAAGCTCAAACCAGATTGTCTGCGAGTTTCAAAAAGCATTGTATTGAATTATATGAAATTTTAAATTCTGGGAAGTAACACATAAACCTGCATTTTAATTAGAGCGCATTTTAACTATTGTATTAAAAATTCGAACAAATAATGTGTTTACATTTCAAAGCATTTTACTTAAATTCGCTGCCACAATAAAAGTCATGGAAACTTTTGTTTGACAATTTAAGCTCATTTGTGACTTCATCTCATTAAATAGTTTCGTAGCCACAAAAAGAAGAACAAAACGCTTAGTCATAGTAACCCTGAAACCCTACCATAATGAAACTCTATTTTTTCTTCATTTATCAAAAGGTTGATATCATTTTCAGCTCTTTATATAGGTACAAAACAGTATGAATATATTAGAGCGTAACACAATAAATATTTATATCCCCCCTGTGTTAATAAAATGTATACCGAACTCCCTGTATATTATGTAGTATTTAATAAACTAAAGTAGTATTTCAATGCTTCTTCCATCTCCAAATTTGAGGTACGCCGTCGATCCGATCTAATATCTCTCAAATATTTTGCATAATAAACATCTCAAAAAGAGCTCACATATGAATACCAACACCCACCCATACATATGTATATAAGCACACCTACTTATGCGCGAGTATATGTGTATGCGTGTGAGTAGGTGGCAGCCTCCGACGCAAACACTATGCTAATTAATTTGCATATGCAGATGCGAGACACATTCACACATCCACACGTGCATAAGTAAGCATTTTTGTTTGCGGATACTTTCCATAATGAGCTCCGACATATAAAAGAGGATGACTTTGTTTATCATTATTCTCATCAAATGAGGTTCCTTTTGTTTGGCAGCAACATTCAACAAAGCTCGTGGATGCGGAGGAGGAGGTGAAAAACACATCTAAATAGAAATGAATATCTGTATTATTGTTATCGTCTTGTTGCTGTTGTTGTTGTTACTGCTGCTGCTGATGTTGGCGAAACCCTTTTTGTAGGACTTTAATTATATGGCTAACTTAACAAAGGACTGTGGTGTAAGTGAATGAAAGGTAAACAGTATGGGAGCTACGGAGTTTATATTACGGTTGTGGAGAACACATACAACAAATCGGATGAACATTATATATGAGACCTATAACTATATCTGAACCGATCTTCAAAAATTTGGTATACTACCTTCTAGACTCAATTCGGTCGTATGGGCCAAATTCCATCCCATTTGGGCAAATATTAGACTTTTGGTGCACAATAAAAATCGGACGAAGTTATATATGGGAGATATATCCAAATCTGAACCGATCCCGATGAGATTTGGCAATAGTATTTTTGAGCTGTATTTGATATATTTCCCTAAATATCGTTGTTACAGAGTGCATGTTACGGCTGCGGAGGACTAAAATAACAAATCAGATGAACAGTATATATGGGAGCTATAGCTATATCTGAACCGATTTCGATCAAATTTGCCATACTTTTTTCAGGGCTAATCTGGTCGTTTGTGCAAAATTCCATACTATTTGGTCTGATATTTAACCTTTGGTGCATAATAGAAGATAAATCGGATGAAGATATATGTAAGAGCTTTATCTTAAACTTGACATATTATCTCCAATTTCAAATAAATGACTTGTAAAAAATTTCGTATGGATCGGGCAATAAATGCGACCTTTACTTTGTTATCTTACTTTGTTCACAAAAATACATGGCCAGACGGACGGACATGAATAAATCGACTCAGAATGTGATTCTATGCAGATCATCAAACGGAACTATGGGTCTATCTCTTGTAGGGTATAAAAATGAGAACGGCAAATTTTCTTCCGGAAATTTTTAAGAAACGCCTCCAGGCTTTTTATAAGGAATTTTAAATGAAATTGTTCCGAAATTGTTCGTATATAACGAATTGTTGAAATTTATCGCACGATTTGGGTTTGGTCAATCTAAGTTGGAAAAATTGTTTGGGATAAATATGAAATTCATGATAAAAGGGAGAGCTTTAAACGACCCTTTAACAATCCTTCAACGTTTATTTGCTCTACTTTTTGAATAAGCTTACAGATTTCGTGAAGAATAAAACATCTATAAATGTTAACAACAACAGGCACGAAACAAATTCTATCAATAATGGTTATAGGATATTATTATGCGGTAGAAATGGACCATAACCTTAGTGTTGAAATATCAAAATTTCCATTCAACCGCGAAAGTTTTTATACCCTCAGCCATATGGCCAGAGAGGGTATATATCATTTGAAAAACGTGCCTAGTCAAAATGACGGTTTTAGACCCTATGTCTCTTTGGACCAAATCCGTTTCAGGACATTTGTATTCGATCTAGCGATGTCCGTCCGCCCGTCTGTCTGTCTGTCTGTCTCTCTGGATGGCTGGCTGGATACTCCCTTCGAGAGTTATCGTGCCCACCAGATAACTCTCAAAGGGAGTATCCGATTTGGTCCAAACTTGCCACATCGTAATATTTTTGTCAAACTTAGATCGAGTTCGGAGATGGGCAATATCGGTCCACTCCTTCAGGTACCTCCCCCAAAAAAGATCTAAATTTTCAAAATATATATTTTCTACACAAAAAGAGAAACGTTAATCCGTTTTTGCTCCAACTTTGCAACTTCTAATTATTGCGTCAGTTTCAGGTCAGGTGCGAAAATGGACAATATCGGTCCACTCCATCAAGTAATTACCCCAAAAGGGGTCAAAATTTTGATAATTACAACTCTTATAAAATGTGATGTAAGAGTCCGATTGTCTTTAAATTTCACATCCCAATATTTTTATCTGGTCTGGTGTTAAGATAGTATATATCGGTCTACAACTTAGGGTAGCTCCACCACAAAAGGTCGAAATTTTCACAAAATATATTTTTTTATACAAAAAGAGAAACGGTAATCCGTTTTTGCTCCAACTCCGCAAATTATAATTTTGTGTCAGTTATAGGTAAGGTGCGAATATGGACAATATCGGTCCACTTCATCAAGTACCTCCCCAAAAAGGGTACAATTTTTAATAATTACAACTATTATAAAATGTAAGAGCCAGATTGTCTTGAAATTTCACACTTCCCAATAATTTTATTAACCCAAGACATGGTGTCAAGATGGAATATATCGGTCCACTCCTTCTGGTACCTCCCC